ATGGTAGATTTCACAGTATAATTTTGATATTCAGACAGTCTAGGATGATTGATTTGTATGATTCACTTTTTGAAGTACACATAACTCTCGGATTTAAATCCGAAGTTTCCGCATTTATTTATTTTTCAATGAATTCATCCGTTCAATTATAATAGAGTTTTCGTTTTCAAAATAAACAAGGTGTTTCTCTTCTTTCGGGTAAATATCTGTATAGTTATTCGTTAGTGTAGTGATCGTTCTGTAAGACTTGTGGGTGTTAGAGCCGACTGGGTGGTGTTGGCATCAGTGTATCTAGTGAGCATGAGGACGACAATTACTCACACATCCTCGCCTACACCTGAATATACCTGAGTTATTTCTTGCATAACCAACTAATAAAGTGATTGCTTGACTTTCAGTACATGCACGTCGAATCGATTCAACGGCATGTTCATGTTCAACATATGTGAGATCATAGTTATTTTTCTATTTAGAAAGAGTCATTTTATATTAAAATTCACCGAATATTTCTTACCGATGAATATACGTGCATCAGACGATCACCAACTTGCAAGCGTCCATTTTTATCAGCGATTCCCCCTGGAATGATATTTGTAATAAATATTCCATAATCCCTACCAAGAAAAAAAGTGAAATTTTCTTATGAACTTTTTAATAAATTAATAAAAACAAACCCTTTAACATATTCATCTCTAATACCACCAGCAATCGATAAACCTAAATGTGCCTTTGACAAGTTCGTTATATAAATTTCTTCCAAAATAGGTGGCGATAATCGACGAATTAACTAAAAACATAAGCAAAATGTTTTCATAATATTTCTCATAACAAATAAAACCTAATAGGCTTACTAAATTAACATCATTAACAGCTGTTTTAAGTCCATCAACAGCTGCTTGATGCTCAACATCAGTAAAATCGATATTATTAACGCGTAAAATAATATCATAAAGTCTGAACACAAGAGAAACACAGGTTTTTTTCTGAGAAATATAAAAATATATGCATTATACTTTAATCGTTGATCATGGTCAGTAAGACCACCTTTAGTAATACGTGTAATAACAACAGCTCGAGAGCCAGTACTGCAAGCAGCATCAGTTCCACCAGAAATTGAAAATCCAAAATCGACACCAGGTGGCTGAAATAGAATTCAATAAACAAAACTTTTCTTTTTGCTTGAGTATATTCATTACTCGTTTAATATGAATTTCGATTTCTTTCCAATGATCACTGTAGTTAAATTGTGTTCTATGAGTAGATGAATTTAATTCTGATGTATTCTGCCTATTGTTTTGAACTCCATCATATGCATCTGCTATTAGAAAGATGGCTATTTATTGTTATTGATTGTTTTGTTTGATATTTTTTGAACAAAACATTGGATTGAAGGTGCTACTATGGGTCCTCTCATGCTCTACGCTTGCACTAGCACTCCACATCCACATGATCTTTAAATTGTTCAGATCGTTAAGAACATTGGCTTTCATATGTTCCCTCAAAAACGAAATATAATGGTATTAAGTCTAGTGATCAGAAAGCTTATCAGATCTGTCGATTTCTTCTAAGCCAATGATCATCAAACTTATCGCTCACTCATAAGCGAACTGTCGTCGAACGATGTGTTGATGCTCAATGTTGCTGAAAGATCTCTATTTTTAATTGTTGTTTTGTCCGGAAAATCAGATGACAACAAACTTTGAAGCATGTCAAGGTTACTTTGTTGATCAATTGTTGAGACAATAAAAAAAAAGAACGATCTGATAATCAGTTTGCTAAGCATGAAAGATCACAAACTAAGATTCGATGAGTCTATTATAACTTCGAATCGGTAAACGGTTTATTTTGAGTCAACGTATAACACATGTGTTAATTAATTCATGCAGAGAGGAAGTGTGCGAGTCGTATAAAAGAAAACGAAGGATTTAAAAATAATTGCTGCATAAACTCTTTCCACATTTTGAGAAACGTGAAGTTTTTTTTTATATTTCGCTTAGAAATAATAGTTCATCAGGGTGCCTTTAAAGTCTGCTCGTGTAAGTAAAAGTCTGATCTATGGACCAATGAGAAAAAAATTAGTGTAATAAATTTGAGTCCAATAGTATAGATATAGGGAAAAGACTTTGAGTAAGGGACTTTTGAGACACTGTGTAAATGTTTACCGTTATACTCACTCGTCATTGCTATTCTGTTTTAAGCATGAGTCTTTATTTTCTAAAATGCATAGAATGAAGAAATCTCCAGCATTTTTTTCTCGATTATTTTTTGTTGTTTTTTCTTCACTCTCGATAAATCTATAGAATAAAATAATATGCGTATGATTAAAATGAAAATCAATTGGCATAAGGCAGCGAAACTATTCAAGAGAAAACATATTTTAAAGACTAATAATTCGAAAAAGTTTGTCTCGTAAATAATTTACTAATTGTAATTACGAATGGTGGTTACTAGAACTATCGCCGTATTAGTATCGGCGTTAGATGTCGAATGGGATATGGACGAAGAGAAGACTCACACCCTCATGAGTATTGATTTTATTTCTCTCTTAATCTTTTGGTAATAAATATTTTGCTTATACGTCTTCTATGTTTATAAAGTTTAGAATACTTGCTTTCAGTTTATAAGTAATCATAATAAGTTACACATCAGAAAGAATAACCAAAATTGTGCGTACCAACGATATTTCACTGGAAGTAATTTTCAACTTCGTTGAGTTTAAGTGTATGTGAGACGATTGCTTGTTTGTCGACTGATTATTGGGCTACCTGCGCAGTGTAGCAGCATCGTAAAATTTATAATTCTTATGCTTCCTACCTTCATGTTTTTCGTTCTTGCAAACGAATTTAAGTTGTGAAGTCTTTTTCTTATAGTCGATGAGATGGAATTAGGCATATTTTGGGTCGAGAGGAGATGGTGTGGTGATGACATGGTTCTAAGTGTGATGTCTACCGTGATTTTGTCTAGTTGATTAGTTTCTCCCACATCTACATCTTTCCAAGTTCTTCATAATCTGCATAGAATCCTGAAAAAACAAAGATTCACTTCGATTCGAACTCTGACTTTAGTCTTGTTCTATTATGGCATCAGAGATCCTACCCTGAACTCTAAATCTTACAGCTTCGTTCACTGTTAATAAAAATCGAACCAAGATTTTATTTCTTTCATATGATTTATGCAAATTGTTTTTCTGTATTCGATAATAGACATATAATATGTTACTAAATCGCAGCTCGTCGCCATTGACTACGCTTATGTGCATGTAACAAAATTCGATGTATCTTTTGAATGTGATGCACTTCCTTAATAATACGAAAAAGTAAAATAAACTTTCTTCGTTTTTCTGATGCAGGTCATTAGCCAAGAGTCGTTGGTAGAAAAATTACTGCATAAAATTATATTAAAAAATAATAAAAGTTCTTACAATTTTCATTCAACTAACAATAATTGACAATTCAATCATATAGATCAATTGGCAACAAAAATTGCTAATCCCATTCATAATAGTTTCTGTTTACCATTCCTTATGTTTATCAATCAAATATCATGACTTCATATACAATTGTTTTTAAAGATGATGACTATCAAGAAGACTCACTCATTTATGTTATTCACATTTTTGTTTACTTGAATTTTCTTGTCTTTTGTTAAATAGAAATAAAAAGATTAAATAAAACAGAACAGTGAAAAATGTGAAGCAAGCAAACATTTCAATGCACTAAGCATTTATTTGGGGTGTGGGTGTACTTTTATATTCTCTCACAACCAGCGACGCCCACACCCTATCATTTGATGGAAGATTATTCGAATGCATTGATATTCAATGAAAACGCATATGGCATCTACGAAAAAACGCTTCCATCTATACATTCATCGCTTGCAGTAATCTATGGAGATATTGGTGGAATTTAGCACACCATGGTAAATGATCCTGATGCATTATCAATGTATCAAAAAGTATTACAAAGTCAGCAAAGATCAATTCCACCTAATCATTCAAATTTAGCTACTACCTATAGCAAAATTGGACGAGTTCATGAATCGATAGGAAAGTATACGAGTGCTTTTTCAGCTTTTAGTAAAGCACTCGAAATTCGTCAAACTATATTTTCTGATAATCATACTGATCCTGCTACGGCATACAATAATATAGGTCGAATATATCATTTAATGAATGACTATTCGAATGCATTATCATCAAACAAGAAAACAATTGAAATACGAAAAACAATTTTACCATTGGACTGTACAGGTTTAGCTGCTGCTTTACCGAATGTTGGTTCAATTTGTCAGAAGATTGACAATTGCAGTATTGCACTTTCGTTCTATCGAGAAGAACTTGAAAATGACAGCAAATCATTGCATTCTAATCATGATGATCTTATCAGTATCTATAACAACATGAGCGAGACTTATCGATTCATGGAAGACTATTCAAATGCATTATCATATCTTGAAAAAGGTATTCATATTTGCCAGTCTTATCTCCCTCTGAATCATCCATCATTGGCTCATGCATACAATAATATGGGTCTGGTTTATAATTCGATCAGGAATTTTGACAGTGCAATATTATTCTACAAGAAAGCAATTGAAATACGAGAAAAAATTCTCTTGTTCGATCATTCATCGTTAGCTATTAGTTATAATAATATATCATGAGCATGCGAAAGTTTAGGATAATATCAAGCAGCATTTGAATATGCTGAACGTGCTCTCGATATTGTTCGCCATGCTTGGTCACATGAACATCCTTATGTGCAAGCATTTTCTTAGAGATTTGAGAATCTTAGTACAAATTTAAAATGAAACTTGTGTTAATATATAACTATGAAAACAAAATCACTTTTTTGGATCACATTTTGTCAGTGTTGCATTCCTCATTTCTAAATCTTACATACTAACAAATCTTTATGAAGTTATCAAAGTGATAACGTGAAAGTTTGCATTGCCTAGCTCGCAACTGCTTTATGTTTGATTAAAGTCAGTATATTCAGATTTTCCCTGTTAATACTGAAGGTCGCTTCATTCTTAGAAAAGCTATTATTCATGTTCCTTGTGTTCCAATCAGTCGTATTCAAAGTCTATCATCGCTTAGAAAAAGTTGGTTATTGTCAGACAAATGACAATGAAAATAAATGCATTGTGTGGTAATCGCGAATTTGATCTTTGATATATGGCTAGAGTACTTTCATAGTTAATTCTCTTAGATACGTTCTTTCAAACAAAACAGCATAAAATGTAAAGAATGAAGACTACTAGAGAATTTCAGATCATCATATAAATTATTTTTGATTTATATGGCTTATAATTGATGATATAAGGATATAGGAAATCGGCTTGTAATTGAATTTTATGGAACTCACATATATTTTCGAAGAAAATAAGAAGTGTAAGTTTTGGGGGCAGAATTGTGCGACTCGCCCCCCCCCCCCCTCATTATGTATTAGTATAGTGAAGCTGAAAAGATATATGAGTTTCACAGTTTAGCCCCTAAGGGGTTGCGCTGACAAGCTTGTTTTTTTAAATGAAGAATTCGAAGAAAAAATATCTGATAAATAATCTGGAAGTGGATGGCATGTTTCTCACCAGAGAAACAATGAGTATCAGATAGAGTTAATTAGGAAACAAAACTTTCTGACAAAGTAGATTTTTGCAGGTTTCTTTTTATATGCAGCAACGGTTTTCTAGAGGGTGAATGGAGATACAAACACATCCACACCCGACAACAATACTATATTGCTGAAGAACGAAACAAGAGTACTTTTGTAAAAACTATTAGACGAATGATTTTTTAACTAGGGATGATTTAGAGACAAATCGTCGCTCGTGCTGTATAATCTTTCAAAACATGCTTCAGCTATATCTTCTGCATAAATTTTCGCATATTAAATTAAGTCCTGCAATATTCTACAAGTTGCATTGAATTTACCTTGACACTTGAAAGAAGCGTGCAACATGATTACTTTGTCAGATTTAGAATTATTTTTACGTGGATGTATGTGCAACAACCGGAAATCGTTATAAACTAAGCAGTAAATCTGGTTACAATTTCCTATAGATTTTGCCGATCTGAAAGTTTTTTTTTGTTCATGAAATTAAATTGATTTATATTTTCATTATGAATCTCTTTCTTTCAAATGTATCATGATACGCTTAAGAGCTTAATCTATCTTCGAAGTTCTAACGGCATATACGGTTCAACTTGGTTCAAATAGAAATCTAAATTATGAGTATATTTGCTATATTGAAAAAATATTCTACAATGACAGATTCTCTCATGGTTTATCATATCGATTTTAAAACGATAAGGAATCTAACCATAAAAGAATAGAAAATCGATGGAAATTCAGATTAGAGTTTCAATGAGTCAAAATTATGAGCAAAAAATCGAATTTTTTTTTATAAGTTCAATGCAATGTTTAATAATCACTAGTTTCATTGCCAAGACATGAAAGAAAATATACTATCAAATAGAAGTTCTTGTTTTTTTATTCTTTCTTTCACAAAATAATAGTTAATCAAACATTTCAAGCTTCAATTAAAATCGATTAATATTTGTCACTGGCCTCACTTGATTAGTACTGCTTGGTATATATTGTTGTGCTTGGTTTCGCAATTGAATAAGACATTGTCGTAAATTTGGCGTGATCCAGAAAAGAATGATAAGCATAGGGCAGAATGCTGCATTTGTATTTAGAAGTAAAAGACGCATCAATTTCATTGGCGAGAGATCAGGACGAACCATACTGAATATGATAAAAATCAATGATGGAATACCAACAAGAGCTAATTGAGAATTTAGCAATACTACACGTCGGACAACTGCCAAGTCGCGCTTCATTTGTTGTTGATTGCCATGAACTCTCAACGAAGCTTGATGCACATAATGTACTAAACGTCGATACAGAATAGAAAGAATAATGTCTGATATAATGAATGTTATTGTAAACAAATAAATTAACGTGCCAACATTTGTTAATGATACAAAGCATGAATTTTCTGTACGTAATTTTGGCATGTTACCAGTTAGATAAACAGGTAAACCGAAAATGAAATCAAATATCCATTGAATAAGGACAATGAGAATTTTGCTATGTTGACTATTTAAAAGTGTTAGTCTCTTAATTTTAGCATATTTTTCGATTCCTTGTAAGACGAAGGAATGATGAACAGCAGCTATTGTAGAATGATGAATATAGGCACGCAATGAACAAAGTGAGTCAATTTGTGGAACAAGTTCTTGGTCCCAAAGCAGCATATAGATAGCTACCGCCGCGTTGTCACAAGAATATAGAAAAGCGGCAAGAGCTGTGTTGCAAGCTAATAAAGTTGGAAAATTAAAGCATCGAGACCGATAAATAATAGAAACCGTAATAAAAGCAAGTGCAAGCAAGGCAACGAAGCAAGCAACGAATATATATATACGATTGATGGCAGAAACTATATCCATATTGCTATTAGTACATGTTGTGGCTGCTTTTCGTAGTCGAATTGATTCGAATGCTTTTCACTTGATGGTTAATACGATATAGATGAAAATCAATTATTTCTGAAGCAAGAGTACCCGTCAATTGCAAGATATTGTTGTTAGAGCAATAGTTTTGGATAAATAAGTATAAGCAAAAACTGCTATGATGTTGTTAAGAGATGTATGCTCGTTTTGTTTCTACTTTAAAATAGAGCAGTGGCGGTTGAAAAGAAAAAGAAAAAAAAATGAAGAGAATCAAAGAATAATTTCCAGAATAAATAATCGATGCGGTCTATTGCATATGAATGCTTCAGGGATGTCATAATTAATAAAATTCACAACATCGACTCTGTCAAGTAACTATGACAATCGGTTACAGAAAATCTTGAAATGGAACATTCTTATATCAGCAATAGCCTTCAGTGAACTAATATGCGACGCAAAAGTCTTTGGAAAAATACCCAACACTGTGCTAGACCATTGTCCCAACTCTTGAACTAATCAAACATTGTTTTGTTAGAAACATCGATGTCTGAACTACATATGTTATAGCAGACATATTATTTCAACACGGATCTGAGAAAGAGGAAAAGTCAAAAACTATACATCGTTAAAAATGTTCTTGCAACACTCATTCAACTTGAAACAATTTGTATTTCCCAAGTTCTTCTAAGTCGTATAGGTCAAAATTGAGCAAGGAATATACCAAAATGTAGCACATCAAACATTCAATCGATATCAGCTTTGAGAGTTCTTCTTGATCAATTCTTGACTCGTCAATCAAAAACGTTTGAAACAGAAAAGTTTCGCAAAACTGAGCAATTTGAAAGAACCATTCGGGTGTGAGTGGATGTTCACCTGGGTTGTTGTTGTAAAGTACAAACTTGCACTTACAGATTTTGCACCAGGCATATTTCTCGAAACGACTTGTCAAAACAAGAGAAGTCAAAAGATGAACGCATCTTACAATGCCCTTGTAGCATTTTTATAACTTCATAAGGTTGTATCATTCAATTACCTTGAAGCACATGTATCAAATTCTAACGCTAATATATGCTAAAATATAGAGCATCAAAATGTCTTAACAAAAATCATCTAATAGGAAAATCATACTTTTGAAGGATACTAAATATCTTGAGTTGGTCGCATTCTA